AAATTCCGGCTCCATTCTGTCCTCATCTGATCCGTGAGCTCTGGGGGTCAAATGGAGCATTAGGGGGGTGAACCCAGAAATGAAAGTGGGGGTGTGAACCGAGGGTGGACGGGAGGCTGGGCTCCTCACGGTTCACTTATCACGTGTGACCAGCAGGGAGCAGGGGAGCCTGGTGGGGCCTCTATCTTCTCCACTTCCTGCAGACGCATGCAGCTGGGTGGCTGCTAACCGGTTGGGACTCACGTTATCACGTTAAACTTACAGCTCGCCGCTTCTGAAAGCCAAGCTAGAGCTTCTGTGGCTGAGAATGTCCACCTGCCTCTTGCTATCGTGGGTTTTCCTCCCATTGTTTATGGATCTATTAATTTTGCTTAGATTCGGTGTGACTTACAGACGGATTGCTTCTTGCCCACCCAATATTTGTTGATAGATGAACACTATGTTTATCTGATGATGACAAAGTGTTCACCATGTTAAATCTCCTTTATTAAGTCTCACTCTAGAACTTAGCATTTAAAAAAATCCAATATACCGTGGGGTGTGGAGAAGACTGCTTACTTTTTATTTAGATTTCAGACACAACGGGTTTGTCTGTCCCCCCTCGATAAAGGGGCTTCACGTTTTATTGACATGGCCTCTTGTTGTTTACAGCTCTTCTGAAACCTTACAGGGACCAGGGACACCAGCACTGCTCTTCTCTTGATGGCTCTGTGCTCCTCAGCTTTCTACAGAGCCGTGAGAACCCAGGAAAAGCCATGATCAGAACCCAGTATCCTCTGTGACCTTGAACCCCCCTCTGTAGCTCACCCTTGACTCCTATGAACAGTGGAAGACCCGTGGCCTCAGGTCAGCCAGTCTCACCTGGGCAACAGGAGAAAGTCAAACCTCTCGAGTGACTTGATTGTGATACTGGGCCTGCTGCTGTCTGCAGCCTCCCACCTAGGACCCCAGCATATCTTCATCTCACTCACTGTGAAGTCCTCACCTCCACTCCGAGGCCACGCGGGGAGATGCCTATCTACCTGTGGCACAGCAACGGTTTTACAGATAATAGTAGGAGAGGACGATATTACTCAGCACCAGGACTGCAAAAAGCATCACCCTGCAGTGGTGAGAGTCACGTACTGATAACTCAGAATTTTCTTCTTGGGAAAGTAATCAAATTAAAATATTGGGCTCAAAAATTTACCCAAGAACATCGACGTCCCAGGAGCAGCAGACAACCTTCTTACTGAAGGGGGTGTTGGTGGAAGGCCTGGGTCTGACAACTATCACAGACACTGGAGAACACCTTGTCACAGGGGCAGGGTGCCTGTGGTCTCACAGAGACTCTCAGGATGGCAGGGGTTTATTTTTAATCTTTGCAACTGTAAACAAAAGTTGACTTTTGACCATGCATGCTTCTCATTTGACCACAGCCAGAGTCAGCAACACCCACACGTTGTCTTGGGAAACCAGTTTTGTGAGGTCCCTTCTGAGAGCACGCTCCAGCAAAGGATAGGAATGGCTGGGATCAAGGGCTTTCTGCTGAGCCGCAAGAACCCTGCCCACCCCACATGCCAGGCTCCCACCCGCATGGTCGCTTAACTGCCCTGACACGCCTTCCAACAGCGCCCTTCCTCTGCAGTCCTTCCTTCTTGACTGAGCAGTGAATTCCCCAGAAGACTTCAATGGTAGGGTTGTCACATTTGCAAATAAAATGACAAGATGTCCAGCATCTGCCAGGCAATGTCTGGGATATGCTTGTTCCTCCCCATTTATGTGTTGCTTATTTGGAACTCAAATTTAACCAGCACTCTGTGTTTTACCTGGCAACACTTAAAATAAGAGGGCCCTTCTGATACCATAGCCAGCTGTCCCTGCAAAGCCACCACCTGAGTCTGGAACAGAAAGGTGAGTGGGCAGCAGGTGAGTGGGCAGTAGGAAAGGCTTGAAGCAGAAAAGACATTGTAAGCCAGGTACAGTGGCCAGACTTGTAATTCCAGCCGCTCTGGAGGCTGAGGCAGGAGGATCAGGAGTTCAAAGCAAGCCTCAGCAACTTAGTGAGGCCCTAAGCAAGTCAGTGAGACCCTGTCTTTAAATAAAATATAAAATAGGGCTGGGAATGTAGCTCAGTGGTTAAGGTCCTCGGGTTCAATCCCCAATGCAAGGCACACAACATCCCACAGCAACCCGCCAGCCCCTCCACATCACCCACCAGGACCCTCCACCCTTTCTTCATGGCAAACTCCTGCTCAATCTTCGGATGGGGCTGGCACCACCACTTCAGAGAGACCTCCAGGCACCTCTGTTTCTTCCCTTTGAAAAAGTTCTGCTGCCCCATTGGCACATCTGCTGCCACCTCAGGCACAAAGTTTTGGGAGGACAAGGCAGCTGAGCAGAAGCACTGGCTGGCGAGGCACATGGGCCGCCGGGCTTCCCAGGCAGGGGTGGGTTTGGTTAAAAGGTGGTGGGGCTGGGTATAGCTCAGGGCACGGCACTTGCTCAGTATACACGAGGCCCTGGGTTCCATATCCAGCTCCAGGGAAAGATATATGGGTAACCAGCAGTCCCCGATTCTGGCCTGAGGACAATGCCAGCAGTGGGGGGCTGGGAAGCCACCTGCACTCCCCAGAACCATAAAGAAACCCACTTCACTCCCCAGAGCGCAGGTTCTGCATGTGCCCTGCAGGTCCACCCTAATTCCAGGAATTTGTCCTTAGGAAATGTTTATTTTCTTGTGCACAATGATTCTGTTATTGTGGAACTTTTTTTCTCGATCACAGTAAAAAAAAAAAAAAAAAATAGAATGACTTATGTGACCTCAAATGTACCTTGATTAAATAATTCTGGTGCCGTTATGGAATTCTGGAATTACAGCATCACATAACCATTAGACACGGCCTTACAGATTTTCTATCACTGTAGAACAGCAGTCACAATGTATAAGATGAAAAAAACAGGCTATGAAACAACAGTACATTAGGAGTCTTCATTTTACTGCTTTTTGTTATTGTTTGTTGGGAAAACTTCACTGACATACAAGTTTGCAGGACATATGTGAAGTGCTATAGTGGGTTTTTTTTTCTTGACAGGGGAGGGCAGTTATAAGGAATTTTAAGTTTACATTACTTTCTATATATCCTACATTTAAAAATAATGTCATGACTTTAAAAAGCATATGCTATAATGTGTGAAATAAAATATACAGAGTATAATACATGCATTTTTAAAACCTGGTTAATCAAACCAGGCTTTCCCTTTTAGGAGTATTAAAGAAATGAGGTACAGTCTTGACGGCAACCATCCAACGCCAGGGGACAACCTACCTAGCTCTGTGGAAGCCCTTGAGGATGAGGAGGAGGGACAGGAAGTCCGGGGGCAGAAATAAGAAATGAGCCTAGGCCTGACCTCAGGCATTGGCCACTCTCCCCTTACGAGTTTCTAACTGCGCACATGCACTGAATGCCAGGGCTGTGCCAGGCACTCTGCAAGGCTTCCACCACACTGGTCCTCACAACAATCCTATCGAAACCCCATTTTACCAGTGAGGCACCAAGGCTGAGAGGCCACCAGATAGCTTGAGGGGCTGGACCAGAAGGCAGGAGTAGGACCTGTAAGCAGGGAACCAGTGACCAAGATACCACCTCTGTTGAGTGAAAGTTTGAAAGAGTGCGTCTCTACAAGGCAGAGAAACTTGGGCCCCACAGATGCTACAGTCTAAGGAATCATGACGTAAAATGTTCACCAAACTGGGAATGAGGGGATTGCAGTTTCGTGGTTTTCAAGGAATAGAGAAAGACCCGGGCATCTGGGGTGACGGTGACGAAACCCTGCTGGAGTTTGCAGTGTCTCTCCTGAGCCTTGGAAAGTACACATTGAACATAAAGCCATCTTTGATCAGGAAAACGTCCTTATTTTCCCTTTTCTGGAACCACAGTCTGTGTGTGTGACCAGGCCCTGCACAAGCCACCAGCAACACACGTAGCTCTGAAGACTGGCTTTCAGCATAGCCAGTGTGCACCTACTGTGTGGTCCTTTCAAGGAGTGAGGACCTTACGGGTTTTAATAAGAAATGCTATTTATTGTAAATTTTGTCAGGGGCACAAATGTGTCCCTTAAGCCGCTGGCCCTGAGGTTTTCTACAGTCACACAGTGCTTTCTAGGGGCTTTTAAAAAGGGCTCTGGTGCAGAAGCAGGGAGCACCTAACACACACTCAGGCTGGCACTTTCCAGGCCAGACTGGCTAGTCAGACGTTTTGGTTCCTCTCCATCCTGCTTGTAGGAAGGACCAACTGTAATGCAAATTCACTCCAGCTCCAGGTCGTGGAGACCTGTGAAGGCTCTGGCCCACGATGTGTTGATGTGTCAAGTTACATTTTAGTCTGATACATAATATTCTTGTGCTTCTGTTCTCAATTTTGAATGCCACATTGCCAGTTTTGCTCTTTAAAACCTTGAACCTTGGTGCTAATGTGGCTCCTCGTCCTGACAGCACATTCTATGCTCTTACAGGCAACCTGTCAATTTCAAGCAGCAGTGAGGGCCGCAGAGCCAGTCTCCTAAGTGGCCGTGCCTTTGGGGGGCTTCTGAGGTTAAGAAGAGATCTTGGAGGCTGTTTGGACTCACCGCTATCTCCTCAGACTTTGAGGTGATCACCCATCACCTCAACAGTACCCTAACTCCACCCTCCCTCCTGTGATCAGGGAGGCCGAGGCCCTGGACAGCACTTCTGATCTGGCCTCAGAGCACCCAGCGCCAGGTGGGATCACCCTTCTTTACCACAATGAAGGAACGGCTCAGGCTCAGGCTCAGGCAGCCCGTGACTGGACAAAATCAGACAAAGCCAGGACCTCGAGAAGCCAGCTCCTGTCTGCTGTCTGGGACCCTTATTAGATTCCAGAACTTTAGAGTGAGAAAGAACCTTGATATCATCATTTAGCTCTTCTCCTAAAGACCCATGGGTGCAAAAACATAAACTGACTGTCTAAAGTCAAACATCCAGTCACCAAGACAACAGCTGAAGACTCTGGATGGCCAAGTCGAACATTCTCTTGGCAAGGAAGGAAAAGAGAAAACAAGAAATAAAACCCCAATTTTCAGTTCCAAAGTTCACGTATGATAAGAATCAGAGGAGAAGCTGTAGACTCAGTGAATGCTTTCTAGAAGACCAATGGGAGCTTGTTCTCGGCAGCTGGAATTTGGCCTGCAGACATGGTTAGTTTGGGCGGCAATGGCAGGCAGGTGCTGGCTCTACCTGTGGATTTGGCCCATGCTGGTAAAAAAAAAAAATTAAAAATATTTAACATAAGAGTTCAGATTTCTGGGATTTTGGTGAAAAATTATTAAAAATTATAAAGGTCTGGCATGGTTCCATTTGCATCCCCAGGTGAAGGAGGGCTGCCTTCTCGGTGGGAGTTTCTGTGATGAGGTCTTACTGTGTTGACCAGACGGTTTGGAACTTGTGGGCTTGATTGATCTCCAGTGATCTCGCCTCAACCTAGGGTTATCCTCCTTGGAGGGCACAAGTTCTCTGGCTCCCCACCACCTGCACTGCTCCTTGAAGTCCCCTGCCCTGAGGCCACGTGTCACACACCTCTCCTGGGCATACCCTTTCCCTTCCGGCACTCTCAATTGCTCTCTACTGGACCAGTGTTGGCCCTCACTGAGGGCCTGGAATCATTCAGCCAGGTTGAGTGACCCTGCATGGCTTTTTTTTTAAAACAATATCACCACAATCTAACTACAGGGCAGAGTTGTCTGGCTGAGGCGTCCATATTCAATTCATACTTTGAAGACATGCTACCAGAAACCTTTAAAGAGGACAGAGAAACAGTGGAAGAGACGCGTGGGGAGGCACGTGGGCTGGGGTGTGCAGAGAAGCCCAGGCCCATGGCGGGAGGCACGGCGGACGGTGGAGCATGCTGAGCTATCGGCAGACACGTCGCCCTTCACTTTCCTACACCCACACCCACAGAGGGGGAGCTTCCTATGGAATGGGTTGTCAACACTCTTAGTCACAGAGTGCACTGTGGCCACCCAGGGGGAAGCTGGCTGACAGACACCCTTTTTGAAAAGCGGAGACCAGCTAACAAGGCAGGTGGCACCCTGTCTCAAAGGTGTGGCCACACTTGAGCCTTTAATTAAGTGGCCCCACACCTAGGTATTTGGCAACACGTCCATTTTTTGGCCATCGGAAGCACAACCAGCAGGGAACTGTGTTGGACCAGGCCGTCAGAGGCCTCTCTGGGGATCTCATCCACCAGATAGTTTTGTTACTACTATCAACCTGGAGTTGTGATTTGGACACTTGGGGTGTAAATTCAGATTCAAAATTTCTATTCAGTAAGGAGTAAAGTGCATTCCTGTGTGGGGAGACCAGCAGGGTTCACCACAGGGCCAGTGGCTCATGTGTGACATGACAAGTCAGTCCACCTAAGCACTCTGCAGGCATGAGTCTTCTCACGTGGGAGAAAAAAAAAGCAAACTCATGAAAGCTGCCACATGCAAAGTAGCTGGCCCATGGAAGGTGCCTAGAGGCTGCCCTTAGCTCCCCTCTCTCCATGGATTGCTGGCCACACTTAGAAGTCCAGCAGTCAGGTATCTCCTTTAATAGTGAGGAAAGCAAGGACCCCAGAGGGGGTCTTTCAGGCAAACTGGGGCAAAACCATGCAGTTTTGGAGACCTGGGCTCTGCTACTTTACCCAACACTGGTAAAGGTGGGTAAATGGAATAAGCTGGCTCCTAAGGGAAATTTCAAGTGCAGGTGGGGATAGTGACAAGGCAGTGCCTAGGATTTCCAGGAGCTTGGCACTGCAGGCTGAAGGGTTTTCAGTTTGACACAGACCTTCATCCTTTCCTGGCCCACCCTTGCCAAAGCACGTCTCTTGGCTCATTGCTGGGCCTATTATACACTCAGAGTTGGCTTCTCCATACTAACTGAGAGCTGCCCTGCTAACCAGAGGTGAGGCATGCACACTTCACCTTCACAAATCTCACACATCTGCACCCACGAGATCGACCCCAAGGTCCATTCTAAGCGTGGCTCCTGGTCTGTAAATGACAAGATGACCCTTTAAAGTTTCAGCTGGCAAAGTTGAAGCTGTGCCCAGCTGCATTCTTACAAAGACTTGCAAGATCACTGCCGTGTACACAGGACTCTCCCTGATTCCAAAGAGAACACTTTTCAAGAACGTTTTAGGACAGAAGACGTGCTTCCCAGGAACCAGAGCCTAGGCACTCCCAGTGCAGCTCCACACTCCACAGGGCTCGACCGTTCCCCTCCCTTGCTCTTATGAGATTGGAATGCTGGGGGGTGCCAAGTGCTCACCTGGGAACGGTAGAAGGCCATTTCTTCCAGGTAAGCAGTATAGGAGGAGGGCTTGAAAGCAGAGGAATTCACTAAGGTTGTCTGAAACCCCGCAGTCCAAACATGGATTCAAACCCTTATTTGAATATTCTATTTTAAACCTGGTTAGTGGCAGGGCAGAAGACGGAATTAATTCACTCATTGTACTAACTTAAGTCTCAGGCCTGAATTCTCTGGTGAATTATTTTTAATTTAAAAACAGGCTCTTGCCCTATTTAAAAAAAAAAAAAAAAAAGGCAGCACTGAGGAGAAACACAAGAGGCTAAATGGCTCCAAAGGCAGAAGTCACTTGTACAAGAGAAACTCATGTGTCTCCATGACAGTCTTTCCACCTCCAGGTTCAGGAAGTGACCTCTGCAGTGCAGCTGTGTTCTAAGGAGGCAAGAGACAGGTCAGTCTGTGCCACTGCTCCTGAGGAATTCTAAGTTGCAGATGGAGGTAAACAGATGTTACAATATAATCACATAATGTAATCACATAATGTAATATTAGGCCACCATTTAAAATACGACGAGGTTCCACTAGGTTTGATATAGAAGAAAATATATCAATTTAAAAAGCAAGTTGCACAAGGTATTTTTGGAGGAAAACTTATGTCTATGTATGGGTATAAAAAACCTTCAGACACACTGACATCCACCATCTATATTTAGCCTCAAGGGTGCAATGTACACAGGGCTCTAAGAGTCTGTGGAGACACACTTAACAGTGACAGGGAGGAGCAGGAGATTTTTAGTCTTCTCACTGTACTTTTCTTGTCTTTGGGGTCTTCATTTCTCACAAGGGCACTGGTAATAGGTGACAATTTAAACTAAAGAATAAAGTGACTGGCTTTAGAGAATGCTAAGGGTGGCTCCTGTGTGTTCCTGTTAAATGCCTGTGCTGACCCTCTGTGCTGACCCCCTGGGGACAAACAGGAGGCCTTGGAAGGCCTAGGACAGGGAAAGGCGTGGCTGGCAGGGTTCTCTCTTTGCTGGAGGAAAACAGGCTCCAGGCACACCACCACCACCACCACATTTTTTAAAGCTACACTCCCTAGAGCTCCCACGTGTCCGGGTGCGCAGACAGTGGAAGCAGGATCCAGGAGGAACCCACTACCAGCTGAGCGCCGGAGAAGGGTGAACCCAGCCGGCCCATCTCCCTTCTCAACCAGCTTCCCAGCGTAGAGCCAGCCCCGTGGAGCACATCCTGGCACAGATCTGCGGAGGTCGCAGGCTCTGGGCTGGGGGAGCTGCGCTGTGTTCCAACAACCAGCTAGAGCCAATTAATCTGGGGTCAGTGCTCAGACAAATGTCAATCCAGAGCAACTCCCCAAGTGGACAGGTGGTCACAGGGAGGGTGGACAAAGTGTAAACAGTTTTGGTCTTGTTTTTAAACGAGAGATACCATTCACCTCTTAGGGCCTAAGAGAGGGCTGGAGGACGGAGTTTCGGAAGATTGCCGGGCAGAAGTGCTCGGGCTGTCCCTGGGCTTACCTTGCAGGGAAACAGGACTGCCGAGGCCACTTTCTCCATAGCCAGATTCCTGATGCTGGGCGTCAGCGCGCCCCTGCACGTCGGGCAGCAGCTCAACTTCTGGCGGCATTGGTTACACACCAGGTGCCCGGCCTGGCACTGCAGGATGGGGGGCAGGACATAGTCAAAGCAGACCGGACACTCGAAGAGCGAGGTCAGCTCGTGGTGCTGCGGGGACACCGGGCCGGCCCCGCCGCCGCCGCCAGGGCCTGAGATCACCGCTGCCGCGGCGGGCACCGCGGACGAGCCGGGGCCCGCAGCCGAGATGGTGGCGGCGGCTGGGGGCGCAGCCGGGGACTGAGCGTGCTGGGTCTGCGGCGGCGGCGGCTGCTTGCTGCAGGGTTTGTTAGCGCTGGGGCCGGTGGAGGACGGGCGGCTCATCGCGCTCCGAACCAACCATGGAACTGCGGGCGCCTGCCTGCCGCGGGGCCGCCCGGGTCAAGGCGGTGCGCGCCCCGCGGGCGGCGGGCTCCGGGGCAACGCCACGGCGCCCAGCCGGGGACCCGGTGCCGGGACGATCGACCCAGGAAGGCGGAGTCTGGACTTTGCTGACGCTCTCTGCGGCCCCGGCACTATTAACGCCTCTCCGTCTCCAACCCCTCGCGGTGCCCTGCTCCCGGTGGCCTTCGGCCCCGAACCCGAGCGGTGCGGAGAGCCCCGGCCCACCAGCTTCTGGAGCGGCAGCTGACGCAAGCCCCGGGGGCGCGCGCGGACGTGACGCCTGGACACGTGTGCGACCGCCCAGGCGCGCGGGGACTGGCAGAGCCACCCTGCGCCTGGGCGCGGGCTCCGCCCGGCTCCAGCTGGCAGCGCAGGGGCCGCCTAGCGCCGGCGCTTCCTGCTCGCGCGGCCGCAGGGCCCGCCCCAGAGCGCGAGCCGCCTTTCCGGGCTGGACAGGGGGCGCCCTCGGGGAAGGCGTCGCCCAAGTCCTCTGGCCACACCCCAGGGAGCCTCGGCGACGCTTAGCCGCGGCTCAAACCAGAAGGGCAACTTGAGGCCGAGCGGGGGCGTGGCGGTGGGCGGGCCGGGACGCGAGCGGGCGCCGGCGCGGGCGTCCCCGGACAGGTCGCCACCCCCAGGGGCGGCTTTTCTCCCTTCTGTGTCACCGGGGGGCGCGGGGGACGCGTGCGACGCGGCAGCCGGGCCCTTGGTTTGGTCTGGACGCGCCGTACGACTGGGCGCGAGCTGAGCGAGGGGCTCGGGACCTAGTCCTGAGCTGGTGGAATGACGCCGGGCCACGCCTCGGTCCTCCCCGCAGGGCTGGTGGAGGTAGAGGCCGCTCCTACCACCGCGAGCCTGGCCGAGGCTTCCTGGAATCGCGCGCCCGGCCTGCCTACCCGGCCGGGGAGGGAATCACGAACTGCCTGGTCTAGGAGAGGTCGCGATCCCTTGGATGCGGGAGCGTGGGTTGGGTTGAGGCCCAAGGCTCCAGCGGAACTCGCTGTGTCCTCCTGGTGGATCTCGCCCAAGTGTAGGCTTTGAGCGAGGCGTAGCGTTCGCCCTGCGCGCCGCGCGGAGGCGCTGGAGAGGGCGCGAGAGCCAGGGGCGCCCGTGCTCCGGAGGGTACGACTCCCACTCAGCTGCCTGTCAGAAAGTCTGCGCGAGCCTGGGCACTGAAGCCGGGAAGGGCTTCCTATGGGGATTCATTTCTTTATGGGAAAAACGAAGAGGAGGAGCCACCCGGTCAGCATGACTGGGTTGAAAGTGTGCCCTTCACATGCCATCTGTGTGACTTTGAGCAAGTTCTTCAACTTCTCCGGGTCTCGTTTTCTCATCTGCAAAAGTGAATTAAAACACCTGTCTTATAGGTGGGGTAGTGAGGATTAAATGCGCTTTTATATTGTCAAGCTCTTAGAACTCACCGGTCTCCGGGTTGTTTAAACATTAAGAAAATAGTAGTAAACATTTAATGTTAATATTAATTAACATCAGCATAGAATCTGACCAAGAAACAGCAGTTAGAGCCCAGAAAAAATAAAGTTTAGTTTTATAAAAGATCTACAAAGACTTCATGCATGGAATTGGTGGAATTTGAGCTGAAACTTGAAAAAAATAGTATAGATGTCACTTAATCATCCAGTAAGTTTCCTGAGCGTTTATTATGTGCCAGCTACTGTTCAAGCTTGAGGATGGTTCTCATTCAGTTTACCTTCTTAGGAAGCAGGCCACTAACGTCATGGGGAGAATTTCCGATGTGTGGGGGAAATGGGGGTGGGACCTGCGGGGGAAGTGGAGGCGCTGAAGTACCCTGAGGGTGCTGGGCAGGTGTCCTGGCCCTGGCAGAGGTGCTGGGAGTGCAGGGGTGTTCCGCCAGTGCGTGGGCAGCTTCAATTGGCTGCACATGACGTTTACTTCAATGATACAGGCAAGTGCCGAGAACTTTTAAAAGCTCTGTTTCATGGCTGAACTTGAACTTTTGGATGGGTGCGGAGGGAAGGGTGAAATAGCAATGGCTGACATTTATTGAGTGTGCAGGTGGTTTCTAGGGTTTTGCAGCCACCCTGCACTGCATGCAGGTCCTGTTGTTGGGTCCCTGTGTGCTGAGGAGAGGGATAGGAAAGGCGGCTAGTTTGCTCAGGGTCACACAGCTGAGAAGAGGGGCACTGCTGGCCCTCCCCTAGGCCCACCCCTGTTCTCAGTCCCCCAAGGCCTTCAGGTAATACTGCACACAGGACTGACACACAGGCTCAACGAAGCCCTGCATTTTTGTGGGCAAATTTCATGTAAATTCTTTCCTTAGCTGGTCTTGAGAAAAAGTAAATCACTTTCTGTTTATTCCATTTTCACCTTTTTTGTAAGAACATAATAGCAATGACAGGAAAGTGTCACATATAGTTTCACTTTTATTGGAGAAAATGTGACATTTTCCACTCAATTCAAAACCCGAGCAGTTGGGAGCTTTTACTGGAGTGTGTTCTTTCCCTTCTCTGCCCCCCCCCCCCCGTGCGGGCAACCCCATGCTCAGGGTGTACTGACTCTCACTGGAGAAGTGGGGTCCTCTTGTATGTTGACATGAGCATTCAGTGTCCAGCCGGACAGGCCCTGGGCATTCACACAGCAGTTTGGTTCTGCAGGGGGAGTGTTGAAACAAAGAACAGGAAAAGCAATTCTGTGCAGAGAGAGTTTGGTTTATTTTTCCAAAAATACAGCTGACCCATCCACTCTTAACCCTGGCAGATTCCTCCTGTGGTTCAGAGACTGTTCTTTTTGCTTCCTCTTTCAGATCCTTGCAATGCTGATTAAGTTGACTAGGGTGATTAGAAAACAAAAACCCTGGGCAATTGTAGGCAATGAGCAAGAGAAGAGTGGACAGGCCTGCTGGGTGAAGCTGGCCTTTCCAGTTCCCCCTTCTTTGTCTTCCTTCCCTGGGGTGTGTGAATCAGAAAAAGGTGACCTTTGCACCTTGGGCATTGTCAGCTATAGCTCCTCTATCAGGAGGGTAGTCAACTAGAGCGCCACAGAGCTCCAACTCAGTGGGCATTCATGTGTATGGAATTGAGTTGTTTGGGGGTTTATTTGCTCTTGATAGTGTTGCTGTTTCTGGGCCTCTGTTTA